TAAATTTATGAGTTTTGTCTTTATACAGGAGACCCTAGACTAGAGGAGAAAAGTTTCTAGAAATTCAGAAAACCAAGAATGTATTGCCTCTTTGGTGTAACTATGTACCAAAGTATTAATTAATTATGCAAATTAGGTAATTAATATATATTGATATTACCCTAAAAACTATCAGGTCTGCGCAGTGTCCTATGACATCTATATATCAAGTGTTATTGAAATGTGATGATTACTACTTGAAATATCAAAAGATGAAAATTAATTAATTATGCAAATTAGGTAATTAATATGTACTGATATTACTCTAAAAACTATCAAGTCTGTGCAGTGTCCTATGACATCTATGTACCAAGTGTTATTGAAATGTGATGATTACTACTTGAAATATCAAAAGCTGAAAATTAATTAATTATGCAAATTAGGTAATTAATATGTACTGATATTACCCTAAAAACTATCAGGTCTGTGCAGTGTCCTATGACATCTATGTACAAAGTGTTATTGAAATGTGATGATTACTACTTGAAATATCAAAAGCTGAAAATTAATTAATTATGCAAATTAGGTAATTAATATGTACTGATATTACCCTAAAAACTATCAGGTCTGTGCAGTGTCCTATGACATCTATGTACCAAGTGTTATTGAAATGTGATGATTACTACTCGAAATATCAAAAGCTGAAATTTAATTAATTATGCAAATTAGGTAATTAATATGTACTCATATTACCCTAAAAACTATCAGGTCTGTGCAGTGTCCTATGACATCTATGTACCAAGTTTCATTGAAATGTGATTATTCCTACTTGAAATATCAAAAGCTGAAAACTAATTAATTATGCAAATTAGGTAATTAATATTGCACAGATTTTTACCCAAAACTAATCAAATCTGCACATTAGTTTGGAGCATCTATGTGCCAAGTTTCATCAAAATCCAATGAGTGGTTCTTTAGATATCAGTGGAACAGTCATGGAACAGCTAAAAATCAGCTAATTATCGTGCAAATTAGGTAATTAATATGCATGGTTTTTACCAAAACCTAATCAAATCTGTGCATTGGCCCAGAGCATCTATGCACAAAATTTTATCAAAAATCAATGTATGGTTCTTGAGATATCAGTGGAACAGATGCACACACAGACACACTAACTGCAAAGACTACCTTTTCGTGCTCGCACACGGGAGTCAAAAATACACATTTTGGTAGCAGGTTTAGGTTTAAGTGATATACAGTATACCAATCTACCCCCTTACCTGAACCCTAATGCCAAGTTGCATTAAATTAAAAGATGCAATTCATATCTTAAATTCATATAATTAAATAACATTTCTATATAGGGTTGCAATTTAATTGAAATTTTAAGAGAATTTAGATTAATGGCTTTACTCAGTGAGCCAATTGCCACTGACATTGATGATAAAATTAATTACCTGGTGACATTGGTCTACTTGAAGATGGAGAATATGGTATAGGGCTTGAGACAGTCCTTGGACGAAGACTTCCATGTGACGCCATTTCATTAAAGTGTCTTTCATCATCCATTTCAAGGCTGGATTCACTCTCTGAAAGCTGTCGTCCTAGAGCTTCTCGCCTCTCCATCTCCATAAGTAGTTTTCTTTGTAAACGAAGATTCTCTTCTTTAATTTGTTTTTCCTCCATGGCATAGTGGTTCATCTTGTCGGTATCTAATCAGATAGACATGCAGTATTTGTATTAACTTTTAGAACAATATTATTTTTCTTGCCAAAATATTGGTATAACTTTTTGCCCCAATGCTTCCGAAACTTGCTGTCAGGTAAGGTAACAGAGGTCAATGTTGGTCTTATAAGGTTAACTGTAGTGTCTCCAAAACATTATAGGAAGCTTATGAAGTAATACACGTAAAATATCACGCAACGCAACGAGGTCAGAAGCTTCTTGCCAAAACAGAAATTATGGAGCATTTCCGTGATTCGTTTGTGATTGAATTTTCATCATCATAGGGCTTCATCAAATTGCCAGATTGCACAAAGATTTTGTGATCAAAAATCTAAAGAATATCAAGGAAACTGCTGAACTTTGATGTGATTTAATTTCTATTAAGATTGATTCTTGTACAGACATTAGGCTCCTTTTTTTTAATTTATAGGATGGCCTTTTTACTCATGTTGCCACTGCTGTGTTCCCCTCAGGAAACACAGTCAGACACAGCCACAGTCATTATTCTGACTGAAATAGTGATTTATTTCCAATACTGACTTTTTAAATCAAATTGATAAATTGCTGTAAATTTGAAACTGTTTAGTTGTATCATTCTTGATGCAAGTTTGGTGCATTGCGTAAATGAGTATGCTGACAATCACTATTTTCATTTGGAATAATAATATGCAAATATAATGCAAATTATATGTCATAAAATGAAGACTTAGCGACCAAATACTTATTCACATTACTTACGTTCTTGCTGAGCAGCAGCCAATAATTTCTTGAGTCTGTGAACTTCACTGCGAAGTTGTTGAACATGTACTGTGAGCACCTCTGTATTATCACCATTCTTGATATCGCGAGGAGATGGGGGACCAGAAATTGGTTGATCCAATCTTTCTTGTAACATCCTATTTAAATACAGAAATGACAAAAGATGAATTTTTAGCTTATTTCTTACATGTGTAGAAATTTCCTGACAGTATGTCCCAGGGAATGAGGTGTGGGTTTTTGTCCAGACATTAAGAAATGGTGTTTGACAAATGTACACAATCTCAGAATTCATCAATGTTGCATTTCAAATCAAAAGGGGCATTTCATTGCTACAACATATACATGTAGGTGAGGAAACACACCTTTTTTCTGCTTCTAATCTATCCATTCTTTTCCATAACCTGTTCAATAATGCTTCTTGTTCCTGCTCCAATGTGTTCTCCAAATCAACCTTCTCCCTTCTCAACTGAAATTATAAACAACATATCCATGACAGTCATCTATCTAAGTTACTCAGACAGCCACGACAGTTTACATGTATATTCGTCAAGTCAGGGAGATTCATCTACCCAAGATACAGCTTACAATACAACTAAGAGAGATTTATATGTAAATGCCATGCTGTTATTAAATAATGGATTTGATGCAAGTAAATTATTCATTGTTTTTCTGTCTCCAACAAGGATCACTACTGCGACAAGAACCTAGCACATCCCTGTTGTCATCCATCATACAGACTTTCCAATAGAAGCAAGTGCAACAAACTGTCTGTCGGCTGAGATAGTTCTGCTGTTAGCAATGCACATTTCAATTAAAAGTTATCAAATTTAAGATATATAGTTTTGTTTATAGTAATATAGCTGGAATATAACCATGTCAGGAATATGATTTTTTAACATTAAAATGATTGACATTTGTATCAGATCGTCAAACAAGTACTTGTCCATATTGAGAGATATTGCTCTGGAACAGCATTCAAAATCAGCCATTTTGAATACATGTGTATATATATATATATATATATATATATATATATATATATATATATATATAACATGATGTATATCGAATATATAAAATTTGAATATAATCAGTCAAAGCATTTAAGAGATATGGCTCCAGAAGCCCAAGCATTAAAACAAAATGGCCGCCAATCAGCCATTTTGAATCCAATCTGAAAAATAAAATGACATGCATCAGGAACCTGTAATGTCTAATGTATGTTATAAGTTTGAACAAAATCCATCCATAAATGTCAGAAATGCTTGATATTTGATAATTTTTTTAGCACAAAAATAGCCACCATTTGGCCACTTTGAAAAGGGTCGTCAAACCAACATATCCGTATATCTATGACATGATGTAGAATGAATATTCAAAATTTGAACATAACCAGTCAAAACAAGTCAGACATATGGCACGAGAACCACATTCATTCAAACAAAATGGCCGCCAGTCGGCCATTTTGAATGTTATCTAAAAAACAAAATTATTTGCATCAAGGTCCCATAATGTCTAATGTATATACTAAGTTTGAACAAAATCCATCTGTAAACAGCCGAGAAGTACTTGATTTTTATGATTTTTTTAGCACAAAAATGGCTAAATTCACAATCTTGAATCAGATTGTGAAACAAATTGATGTGCATATGTATGATGTATGTGTAAAGTTTGATTGTGATTGGTCCTGACATGTCTAAGACACAGGCACACACGCACGTACACAAGCACAGAGACCAAACTACAAGTCCCCGTTTTTGGACTCTATGCGAACGGGTACTAACTAGCATAATTATATTCTCACAAAAACCTGAAAGTACAACTCAATGGGAGGCGGGTGTAAACAAAAATAAGATGATAAAACTTCTGCCTGCCTGCCTATCTACCTACCTATCTACCTACCTACCCAGTATTTTTTTAGACCATTACCAGAAACACAAACTTTGTTTCATTTGGCCATAGAGCAAATTCAGTGATAAGATATACAAAAGTATATTAAATTTAGAGTATACTTTAATAACAAGAAAGTGTATACAAGATTATTGAGGTCAGGATAATGAACATAATCTCATCAACATCTGTTTCTCACTTTCCCAGTAGAAAAAACAAGTCGTTTATTGCTTGAAACCAGAAATGATAAATTACTTGCATAGCTGGCAGCATATTTTCCCAGTTGAATATTTTAACACAGCAGACATGCAATGGAATAAATATGGAAATTTCTAAATTAACGCCAACAGTTATACGTATAAACCCAACATGCACAAATCAGTACCTAAGTATTTTATCTTTATCAGAATTTACTATTTATATTTTCACAGAAGAGATGAATCATTTCACATTCAACTCATTAAAAATCATAAGCTATACAAAACAGTCAAAATTTCAGATTTTTTTTACAGTACTCTGTCGCATGCGAATATAATGATTTCTTTTTCATTTCTCCAATGGATTTATTTTAATTTACATAAAAAAAATTACTGTTGACTGAAATAGAAGAATTTTGATTATTCTGCACTCAGAGATCATTCTCATACCTATTAGGTGACATTTTGTATGAATAATCATTATATGTTCAAATTACTCCAACCCACGAAAGTGAATGATTGTGAATCAATACAATTCAGAGCATGTACTATATCTGAAATTAGCAAATGATATTCATTCCAAGCAAATGAAAAGCTGAATTGATAACTACCATTTGTATGTTCTGAAAAATCAACATAATTTTAATATTAAGGTGCATATTTTCTGTTACTTGTTGGCATTCAGACCATCAAATTTCTTAGATAATATACAAGTATACCCCAATAATCTCAGAATGCAATAGCCAGAATTCATAGTGACACAGGTAGAAGATTTATAAAGGAATATTTTCAAGATCAATATTCAGAAAGTAAATGAGACGAAACAAAGTAACAGCCATATAAACACAACCATTTTATGGTTATCACAAACCTTGTTACAGACTAAAATTGCCAAAAGCATACATGTATTATACCGTACTCGGCCACGTTAGCGCCCATGCCTGGTCAAGCGCCATCCCCCACTTTGCACAATTTTTATATTCAGAGTTACATTCGGCAAAGCGCCCACCCCTTCAAACTGGCATTAATTTAGAACTTGTTCCTTGATCATTGCTTAACGAATACTGGTAATCGTTTTTATATCATGATACAGCGTAGATATCAACTCTTGAGTTGAGGACCCTGGGCGCTGATTTCTTTTTTAAGACTCAATTCTTTGATATTAATCCAAAGCTGCAATTTAATTCTTTTATTGGTGACAAATACCCCCCTCTTCTCATTTACAACTGCAATTTTACACCAACAGAAAACTGCAGATGTCTGTACCACCCCCTTCCCCAAAAAAGAAATAATAAGTGTGATTTATCAGTACATCATAAATTTTGAAAATCCACAGATCATACAAGCATCTGAATATTGCTGACAGCAATATAATTGGCATCTTTGTAATTTATATACAGCAAATTGAGTAGTAATGAACTTGATGGCTTTGAGATATCACTGTACTTTAAGACTTGGTAGCTAGCTGAGTGATTAATTTACCTACATACAGGTAAATTACTGAACTACAAAAGAATTATTTAGGTAATATTTTAAGTGAAATATTTATCATCTATAGTGGGTGACAGTAGTGGAAGGGATCAGTCAAATTATCTTTTCAACAAATCAGGAAATTACCTTGCTCTAAATTTTCTAGAAATGTGTTATGTCCGTGAGACATTTGACACCAGCAGAGACTAGGAGCCAATATTGGGCAGACAGCCACTTACTTTTGTAAAATAATTCACATAGATTCAAAAAACTAGTACAACACTATGAATAATGCTTGATGTTGCGTACTTCAACAACATTATGATAAAAACACCAACACTTCCTGTAGTCACCAAAACACTTTGGTCAAATTTACAAATAACACCTTGAATATGCAAATTAAATGCTTGGAAACAATACAAATTTATGTTTACCTGTTCAAGAGAATGCTGTTTTCCAGTGATGTCATTTTCCAGTTTATCTATTTTCCTCATTAGTTTATTAACTTGAAATTCTTGTTCTTGTTCCAGTGTCTGTTCTAGCTGCACTTTCTCCTGACGAAGCTACAAGTAAGATAAAACATCACATGGCTATAACACAAAATTCATGAGACACATCAATCGTATTTCATGAATAGCAAAGGAACAAATTGAAACACCAAGATCTTGATTTTCCTGGTAATCGTTTTATTTCTGCCACTATTATTTTTAAAGATTTGACAAATTGAAATTCATGGGATTGAAATTTTGTGACCCCAGAGAAAGTCACTGTAGCTCCCTATGA